GGCGGTGGGCGAAGCGCGCAATGACAATGTCTGAGGAATAAGGAAGGTGATCAGGTACTAGTACTGTCTGTACGTGCATTCGAGTGGGCAACATGCAGGTCGTTTTCCGTGCATTGAATATGTCATGTAATAGGTCTGTGGATGATGTCAGAAGTTCTAAACAAGAACTCTAGAATGAAAGCGCATCAGAGGTGTAGGCATGAGGCCTGAGGGGCATCATTGCTCGTAGATAAGAAGCGAACGCAGCGCGGGCTGTTGTGTCCGCGGCTGAAATCTTGCAGCGGACCGAAATGCTCTTCTATCCCCCGATCGCCACGGGTCTTGTACTCTCACGGACCCTCTAACTTTCACAGCACACACCATGCAACTGAGAACTGGCAACTGGGAGGCGGCATGCAAAGAATCACACAAGCCCACTACGATGTCTCTCTCTCTCTCTCTCTCTCTCTCTCTCTCTCTCTCTCTCTCTCTCTCTCTCTCTCTCTCTCTCTCTCTCTCTCTCTCTCTATCTCTTTGTGGTCGTGAGCGACTTACCATGCTATTGAAGCATTCTCATTTCTTACACCTGCCTCACACGAGGTTAGACGGCTATTTGCAGCATGTTGTGGGGAAAAGTTGAGCCTCGATGCTTCCTTACCCTGGGCCCTATCCCAGTGGCGGATCTGAACCGGGGATATCATATTGTCGCAAGAAGATCGATGAACAGTGGATGGAGCAACGTCGCAAAGTGTGCAGTGGTGCCATTCCGCAACGGTATTGACAAGAACCAACTATTTCGCGCCACGGAAAAGAACTATCGCCTTTTCCTCCTCCTAATACTTATTGTACTGCATTGGCACGTTTACATTTTCACCAAAGCCCGAAATGTTCCGATTGGATTCACCCATTTTTAGCTGGGTTGCTTCGATTGGCTAGTTCTCAAAGCATGTACTTCACAGTTCACTGGTGTGCAGGCTAGCTAGTTCGGTGAAGAGCTTGTGAAGGAATCCCACCACTCCTGTACTGGATAGTACAATATCGATGTTCAAGCTCAGCAAATTATTCAATGGAAAAAGTCAATAGTCAAGACCATGCCATTCAGGAACGGATGATGATCTTTTATATCGTGGGAAGAGAAGTGGAGTACATTAGTTTACTGCTCCTGCTTTTGATCGATGATTGGTCGTCCATGATGGATCCAGGCAGGGCCCCAGGAGCTAGCTACGGTTAACCGGTTCTACACTAGTATAAGACTTAGTGTCAAGCACAACTTACATGTAGTAGTGTAGTCAAAATTAATACATGTAGATAACACGTACATGTACATGTACGTGGGCACTTGCAGCGTCGGAAATACAGTCATGTGGATAACACGTGGGCACTTGCACACCGCTAGCTCTAGAGCTCTGGCGACTAGACTCGCTGTTCAAGACATGATCACACAACACCCTGACCCTGAGTTGCGTAGCCCATCACTTCTGCCATCACAAGTACAAATACTTGAAGCAGTAGTAATGTGCACGTGAAAAGCATCATCGACATGACTGATTCAGTGATTGTCTCCAGACCGGCCAAAGGTAATAGACCGTCGCGTCAGAGATCTAAGATGAAAGGGATCGTGGAGGCAATAATATAAAACAACATTAAACATTCAACATGGCTCTTGAACTCGAGCTCTTGAACTATTTAAATACGACCAAGAAGCATGCGACATCTGCCCAGACAGTCATCCGATGATGGAATATCCCATGTTTTAAAGGCCATGAATTGATCAAGTCAATGTTTGATTAGCATACCGGCACGTAAACACAACCACACTCACTAGTAGAAAGAAAGAATTTACTTCGAAGTACATGTACATGACTGCATACAATCTGCGGACAGAACGGTTTCGTCCTTTGTGGACTCATCAGCGCAGCACAGAGGAAATGAGGCTGAACCTGAAAGCAATCAAAAATAAAATTTCCAAAGCCAGGCCCAGATTTAAACCAGGCCCGAACGTACCTTGCCAGAGTACTCAAACTGACAATTCTTACATGACACGTGATCGTTGCCGGGGCCATGGCCAATAGGCGATCTTCCCGCCGCGGGCATAATCAGGCCATCAGGACCGTTTGACGTCATTTCGGGAGTTTCAGGACCGTTTGACGTCATTTCGGGAATGTCAGGACCGTTTGACGTCATCTCGGGAATAATTTTTCGACCTTTCGACCTTTGACCTTCCCTAATATGTTGTTTCGCGCTGTAAGAAATCAAATCAAGCACGCTCTGTCTGTCATGATGGCTGAATCTTGCCCTTGCCTGCAGCCTCGTTATCGGGCCTACGGCCCTTGGGCCGGCTGCAGGCTCGGGCAAGATTCAGCCATCATGACCTCCTGAGCGTGCTTGATTACATACGTCAGTGAGTTCTAGGGCTTGGCGGATAATGCCGGCAGAAAAATTGGCAGAATTCGGTACTTTTTCTGGTAAGTTTCATGCATGTTTGGTATGTGGATAAAGAAATGGAGCAGAATTCGAGGAATTGCCCGCCATAAGGTTTGTATGGTTCTGCCAATTTCGGTGCAAAAAAAGCAGAATCTGCCACCTTTTCGAGCATTATCCGCCAAGGCCTAGTGAGTTCTGCATAACGCAAACAGCAAAGGCACTACCCCACATGACTACTGTCATGAGAGTGCTCAACAAATACAGTCATATACATGTACATCTACATGTACATGTACCCGGTACATTGTATGTTGCACATCCGAGTTTCACGTTATGCATGATCACCAGGCAAGCTGGTGGTCCAAAACAGGCAGTCTGAGCATAAGGGAGGCGGGGATGGGACAACATTAGCGCTCCTTAGTAATAGTAGCCCTTCTTGAATATAGCCCCCCCCCCCCGCCCGTACCAGTGAGGAAAAAGAAAGAAGGAAAGAGCAAAGATAAAAATGGTATGGTGCCCATGGTGACAGGGATACTAGTACATGTACTAATAATAAGTCTTGTACTTCTTCTGAAGTAGACAAACACGGCGGCCATGGCTGCGACAGGCGGAGCGACAAAAGATGGATGGATACCAGGGAGTAGATGGATACCAGGGAGTAGATGGATACTACTGAGTAGATCTACTGGTACCTGTAGTAGATCTACTAGTACTACTAGTACTTGTAGTAGTAGAATGTTGTTCGCTAGCCAGCAGATTTGTTCAGTCTACCATCTGTTCGCGCAGTCAGTAACGGTTACATCAGGTAGAGGGGACGGTTTCAAATAGGACACCGGTTGCAAACCGGAACGGACTCAATATTCACTTTCTCTCTTGGTATTTTGATTAGAAAACATATGTCACAGTGAGACTACTATGTGTTTAAATAATATACTCCGAGCCAAAATTTCATGGCTCTGCGATGACCAGAAGCGCCATATCAAGCAGGTGAGTTTTTGACGTGTTGCTTCGCACTGCGACTTGAGTTTTACGACTTTCGAAAAATCAACTTCTTGTCGCAGGTAAACAGCGGCTCGCCTCTCGCCAATAAAGCACCGCATACCAATCAAAACTAATGGAAGCACACACAAGGCTTATTGTTACTCTGTACTGGCCGTCGTGGAGCGATAGCAATTACCTAATTTCAGACCCAGAGTGAATTTGACGTGCACTCTAAAACGTGTCCGGTTTGGAGCCACCTCTGATTTGAACTTTTTTGAAGCGAAAAATTGGGCAACTTGGAGGCAATGGGTCACCACAAAGGAGTGGCTCAGTTCGATTGACTCTGGCCCCAGAGCAAACTTCAACATGCCAGTTTCCTTCCACAAACATATTTCGAGTGAAAAATCAACGCTGATGATCGGTTTGGGTCTATACAAATTTGGCTGTCAAAACGTCCCGGTATCGAGCCGTCTCCTCTACATGTAGTATAGGTCTACATGGACTGCACTGCTGTAACATGATCCATCCTGAGCTGATAGTAATATCTGATCCGGACAGTGAGACAGGCTTTCGGAGTTCCCTTTTCACACTCTGCTCTTCGGACTTTGCAGACTAGACTCCGCCTCACATGACCTCACGCGCCAGGAAAACATTGTTGTCCACGGCGCTCTGCGATCCGATTGATTTCGAAATCCTTCCTGCAGCAGCAGCTTTGCTTGAAATCGTGTCGCGCTGCTGAATAGATCTTGCCAACACTGGCCAGCACGAAGTGGCACACGATGAAACTGCCTAGCTCCCGCTCTGCGAACGACGTTACGTGCATCGTATGTCACATGTGCATTTTTGACGGATCTGTCGTTTGGCACGTGAAGACGAGAGGAAGCGGCATACGCTAAGGCTAGGCGCCTAGCTAGATACTACTACTAGTATTACTAATACTAGGCCTATGCCCTCTCCCTACCTATGGGCTATGGCAATGCATCCACAGGATCCGGACATATCCATGATATCCATGCCATCCTACTGCTACATGTACTAGTACTAGTCCTAGACCATGTACTAAAAAATGTAGACCTTTTTAGTCTTCAGCCTTCACCATGACTTGTATTGTTCGCCCTCCATACCACGCGGGGACTCGTGAACATGAAACTTTGAAAGGGGTTTCACGAGGCCCAACTGACTAGTGCTGTCCTGACGTCAACACAACACTCGCACTAGGCCGTGACCGTAGTCGAGTCGAAGCTCTGCGCGAGACTACAGAAAAAAATCTACAGGTACAGTAGGTACCTACTGACTGTAGCCGTACTTCGCGTCATAACACGTGAAATGCTCAGAGCTTTCTTGACGTCACGCAGCACCAATTCAGTCTTCAGCTCAGCCGCAGCCTCCACAGGCACAGGTACTAACAGTACTAGGTCAAGCCGCAGGGCTAGGGGCTAGGCTGGTCAATGGAGTGGGTGGAGATTCCTATCATCGCTTCCTAACGTTGGTTCGGATCGGAGTCCTAGTCCAGACGTATTTTGGTTGGCAGACTTTATAGAGCACGCCAGAAAATCAGCCTATAAAAGTATAAATACCGCGTACCAGTTGACTTTGAAAGAGCACTCCAGCACCTCAGTAGTGACAGTACAGATTCGGTGACTCGGAACAGGTGTTTGCAAGTCGGCCAGCTAGGCGTGCTCTGCTCGTGTACTACGTGTACAGGCAGTGGGTTCCTCTGGTTCATTAGGATCCCGAGGAGTCAAACCCCGCCAGTACTGCAGTAGACCCCGAGTCACCTCCAACCACTTATTTAGGTTATTAGTATTAAAACCAGTTTTCTTCACCATTCTAGGGAGAAACTGACTTGACTGAGCAGTGATCTCGCGACTGTATTGCCAAGTACTATCTTTTTTACCAAGGACCATTACTAGCTGCTTACTGTCGTGTTGACGATTTTATAATAATAATTTTCGTTGCTGCATTGCATACACACACACGCAGTGAGTGCTAGTGCCAGTGGGCCACTTGTGTCACGCCGATTCTGTTTCACTCCACGACCGGGGTAGATCTACGCTTCAGTCCTTCTGTCGACACATGTCGCCTATTGTCGGTGGTTTACAGTCAGCACGAAAATAGAGTGTGAAAGTTGACATTGGAAGTCACGCACTCAACACGCATGTATATTCAGTGATTTTACAAGTCATTTGATTTGCACCCCGTCAATTAATTTCCTGAAAAGGTTGAAATTGCTGGCAATCGGTTTTCAGTTCTTGTTCATCAATATCGATAACGGTTGCGTCGTGTTGTCCGCGGAGTACGAGTAACAGGAACGCTGGCTGAAGCGGTGGAGGCCGCTGACCCGTCCCGAACCGACGGCGCAAGCCAGGTGCACTCGCTATCGTCACAGGTCCAGCAACAGGAACGGGGTAAAAATTTGGACATTGATTGCGAGCGCAGGAAGATAGAAGCGTATCGCACTTCCATTGGCGAATCTTCCCGAGTGCGTTCGCTGTGGCAGCGCCTACGGAGTTCCTACCACGGAGGCAACGGCATGGGGAAGCTGCGGCAACTTCGCCTCCTACTATGGAAGAATTTCCTTTTACAGGTGAGGCTTTTTTGATAACCTGTTCCAGAGCTTATGATCGGTCCCTGGTGTACATACTGGAACTGTGATGACAGTAGTGACTGTGCCACGGCCACAGAGTCAGTGTGAGCTAAGTAACAGTTACTTGAAAGGTGGTGAAACATGGAAACGCATGGTGTGCAAGGGTACTGCCCAGACATATAAACAAAAGTGCAATGGGAAACAATCACGAAACGTTCTAGAGAAGTGGATATAGCAGCGCCTCTAACAGTGTAAAGCATTGGTCAAAACGGCAAATCAGTTGTGCACGTACATGTCCACGATTGTACACCAGTGCTACATACATAGGGTAGTGTCCAACGAGACGCTGAACCATTCTCGGACACGCCATCGCGATTTTCCACCGATTTGTTACGCAGTGCTGCAGTACGCCGACAGCTGAAACCGATGCAGAGTCCGTATATCACTCCCTACAAGCATAGAGTGCACATACTCCATGGTGCGGGTTTGATGGGGGGGGGGGGGGGGGAGGGGGAGGGCTGGGGGCGGACCCGATTTGTCACCACAGCGATGCAACAAACACGGGCGGCTGCCATTTCTGTTTTGAAGCCCTGTGTGTGTGTGGGGGGGGGGGGGGGTATTCTTCTGCACTTCATGCTCGATTGAATTACGTGCAATAACATTACCAAGTGCATATACAGGAACCAAAATTCACTAGCTATTTTGACTTCCAAGCTGCAGAAAGGATGCTCATTTCACATCATTTGCTTCCCGCTTGGAATGTGTGTTGACGTAGTCCATAGTTTGATAATATGTTATTGTGTATGCTGTCTCAAGCAAAGAAGTTTCTAAGTCCAGCTGTTATGGCCTTCTTGATGTAGCTAAAATATGTTGATTGGTGTAAATAGTCCAGGAAATACGTTTCCAGCAGCTTCTGTTGTACTGGATGATGTGTGGGCTAAGCGTACAGTGGAGAGCTGCTGGCTCGGGTACAAGGTCATGTGTGCCATGGCAACGAGTGCTGTAGTCTGCTGTCGATTAGTTGTGCACTCGGTGCTGGCGAGGAAATAATGTGCCAGTGACTTGTTGCCAGCGCCTGGACTTGTTGATACTGTATTGGGGGGGGGGGGACACATCCATGGCTGAATGGTTAGCTACGGCGCTCTGGGACAGAAGCACCGGGTCGCAGGTGAACCTATCCATCTTCAGAAAAAGAAGAAAAAGAAAAGATTTTTTCGTCCGCCTCTGTTGGGGTTCCTGTAAGATTGCCAATTGCCTATCTATGTGGGATGCCCCCCCCCCCCCCCCCCCCCTGAAGCAAAAGGAATGCTTGTTAGTCATATTACTGTAGTAGTATAGATACACTGTGGCATGTATGTGCATACGTATACGGTCACGTTTGCAAAAATGCATGGCATTCCACGAGTGTGTGACATCATATGGAAGACTATGTTCAATGATTTCGTTCACTAGCATGGCGTAGCGTCGGGTTTTCTGACTGTATTCGTTGCCGCACTGTGTACTTTATCATCAAACGTTGAGCTGGTTGAGCTGTACTAGTAATGTTACTGTTATGATTATGAAATAGATAAGTCTTCCTTTCAAAATGCCATGTAGGTGGGATGATAGGCAGTTTGGGTGCGTACATTCTGTCAACGTTTGAATGAAAATGTAGGAAATCAAAGGTAGTTTGAAGAATTTCCATCGTCCTGAGGCACGACTCTTTTGTCCGTTTTGAGTAACTTGGCATAAGCTAGTGATGATGGAACCTGTTTGGATCTTCAGTGTCATGGAAATGGATGTCCATCCAAATCTTTTCTTGGAAAAGGCATCGTAATCATTCGAGTTGCTCCAGTTTGACTCCTTCCCCTTTGATTAGCTACCTTATTGGGGTTGTTGGAAAGGTATTACGGAGTGCATGTGCCTGATGCTTAGGTACTTTGTGTGTCAACCCACGCAAGCCCTGTGTGGGCTGCACGCAAGCCTGTGTGGGCTATGATCCGGCACAGCGCAGGTGGGCTTGACTCTGGAGTGCTTGCACAACCACTCCTAAACTTTTAATTTTTAATTTTATTAGCTATTATGTTAGGAACCACCACTCAGTGTAGAGGCTGTGGTGCCCAGTCAGACACGTAGGCATTGCAAAATTACCTACCTACTGGCCCTCTTGCATGCATGATGGGACACTCTCAAGGATGTTGTGCCATGCCAGAAGCAAGATAGTGGCTTATAATAGTCTGGCAAGACACTCACGCTGACTCTGACCGACTCACAGTCTCAAGAAGCATGGTGGACCATGATTCAGATTTCTAGTTGCTCCCATATTGAGAATTGTGTTTTAGACTTGGTTGGTTTAGGGGATCTGTTTTGTACTCCTTTTTTCTCTCTTCGAAACAAAGCGATTTTGTTGCCTGTAGACTCTGTTTCCACTTCAGAGAATCTTGCACCTGCATAATACATGTAACTTAGTGGCTTTTTCTTCCATTTACGAAAGCCGGTGGTGATGTTTTCCTCTTGTAAAAAGGTTGCGGATGGTGCTATGTATTTTTCGTACTTCAAGTAATTCAAACATTTGGTGACATCTGTTACTTGTGAAGGCCATGACTGTTTTGTTGGGAGGGTTTCCTCCTTTTCTTTGACCGGATCCTGGGAGTGGAGTGAGGGGTTATGGCGTAACTGTTAATGGGTATCTTCGGAGCAGAGTGAGAGGTTGTGGTGTGAAGAGAGTAGCTAGGTGAGTCCCTAGGTTGGACAGATGGTCTGCAGATGTGCCTGTTCTGGACTCAGGTTGACTCACAGTAAAGAGGAAATCATTCGGCTCCATAGTGTTGGTACAAGTCAAGTATGTAGTGGCACAGTGTACTGTAATCCCTTCCAGCCAAGCCTGAAACAGGGACTCAGAGAAGCTATCTGCTGCCTAATACTGAACTAATGCTAAAGTAATAGTAATGCCTTCTCTTGCTTGGGACTCGCCAAAATGCTGGGTCATGATTGCGCGCAACCTTACTGAAAGGTCATGGCATCACTACTTGGGCCTTGAAGTAATTTAGTTAGTTGGGGTTGCATTGATAATGGGATGCAGTGACTGACTGACTGTATGGAGACTTGAGGCCCTGTACTCTGTAGGCTGTATGGCTAGGAGGAGTATGGGGCAACACACATGGTCCTGATGGTCTGGGCCTGGGATGAGTATTTGATGGTGCCATACTGTGGCTGACAGTGACACCACCCTCTTCAACCCAGTACCTACTAGTATACTGGCAGGTACTGCATGCACTGTACTAATTTCATAAGTGTGTGGAGTACACACGTGGCTAGTTGTGTCATGTCATGTGAGCTTTCAATTCACACTTCATGCACACTGCACACACCACACACACACGCACACACACACACACACACACACACACGCACGCACACACACACACACACACACACACACACACACACACACACACACACACACACACACACACACACACACATCAGTCATCTTCATCAATAAAGTCATCATCATGTCTTCACTTCAGGTTCAAGTGGCCTGCAGTACAGTGCAGGCTAGCACCACACAACACAGTGTCATCAGCACATGGCTGTGTGTGTTCTTACTGGAATGTCACATGTTGACTTTGTGCCACTGTGGCCCAGTGTGGGGCCAGTTAGGTACCTGGTTGAATGGGGCTAGGAGTAGGTAATGAGTGTTGCCAAAAGAAAGAGTGCACAGTAATGCTAACTGGTACATGCATTACATGGAGAGTAAAACTTCAGTATAAAGTACATGCACTTTGGATATAACAATCTTTCTCTTCGCATTGGACATTACGTATTTTCCTGGGGACTCTGATTTTGGCGATCAGCAGCCCGCCAGTTGTGGTTCCAGTCACTTCTAAAAGGGATGGGATTGCGGCAGAGGCCCGTGATTGGAGCAGTAGGGTCTGAATCCAGTGTGCGTATGGCACGGCTGACGATGATACCAAATTCCTATCCAGTTCATTCCTTATTCACAGCCACCTCACACTGACACTTGGTGTGGTGCTCCATGGCAGTTTACTGGTCAGAGCCTTTCCCACTAAGCGGAAAATGCCCATCCGTAATTGTCTCCTGTTCCATAGACACAGTCGTCATACATATCCAAGACAACGGTCATGGTGTTGGTCCGTTTCTGAGCATTGCGAGTTGCTTGAACTGCAGTGCAAGCGAGGCTATGCTACCACTGTCTTTGGAGACAGGCGTTTTCGACGTGTAGCCACTGTCTTTGAGTCCTGTGTTTCGATTGTCTTTGCAGATCCGTCGGCCTGTTGGCGCGGTGGTGGAAATTCTTCTGCCCATCCTGGCATGTGCTGTCATGATAGCAATAAGGTAAGAATGAGCAGGCTATTTAAACCGTGAAGACGTCCTGCCCTTGTACCAGTTATAGGCTGTGAAATCAGACGGGCACTTAAAGAATAGGGAATGCCATTTTGCCGGCATGCCATGCACCTGACCTTACCCCCGGCCCCCCATTGCCCGCCTGTATTGGATGGCAACCCCCCCCCCCCCCTTTGCCCTGTATTGGATGGCAACTTCCCACCCTCCCCCCTTGCCTTGTATTGGATGGCAACTCCCCCCCCCCCCCCCCCGGCCCCCCTTGCCCTGTATTGGATGCCCCCCGGCCCCCCTTGCCCTGTATTGGATGGCATTTCTGTTGACCTGGGTACTCTCAGGGTCAGTAGACCTACTAGTGCATGTACCGGTTTTAAGTTTCCCTGAACTAGACCCGAGAAATGTTTTTACAGTGTACGTGTGACATGTACCTGCTGAACATGGTTGTTCAGGTGCTGGGAGTCATTCTGTGTATTTACTGGCCAAGCACACACACACGCACGCACGCACGCACACACACACACACACACACACACACACACACACACACACACACACACACACACACACACACATACCTTGAAATATGCACGCAGATGTACATTCGCGGAATCCAATGGGACATTCTGTCTATCTGCATGTGCGTCTCTTTGCTTCTAGGCAAGTCATCAAGCCTCAGGATCGCTGTTTCCGTAAGCAAGCTGTAACCGCTACGTGGAAGTAGAAAGATGTGTTCTATATGAATATTAGTCACAGCAATGCGTGGGGCCTTTGCATTCGAATAGGTGTTTGCGGGGCCTTTGCATTCGAATAGGTGCTACCCATAATGATGTAATTGTACCTAGGATTGTGTAGCCACATCCTGCTTGACTCCATGTGTGCTTTTTTGGGCACTGGGTGCCACTCACAAGTACGTATTTACAAATTTCAATATTTACTTATCTAGTCATAGCTCATAACAATTTTTGTCCTTCCTTTTATCCATGATTACATTGGCACAACATCTGAGTTTAACATTTTCTTATTGCCCGTTTTGTTTTGTGTGCCGTCGAGCACTTCACTCTGCCTTCTTTCCGAACACACTGTTGTCTGTGATCATCCTGTTCCGCCTGCTGTGCTGTGCAGGCAGCTGCTCGGACATTGACCTTCACTACCGGGCGTCGCGTATCAATGTGCTCAACTCTTCTGCGCCGGTGGTCGGGTACTATCCGGACACACCGCTGGGTAAGCACTGCTCGCTCACAGTTGCCTTTGGGTTGAAGAGTTTATGCCAGACCGGACCCACACAGCGGACAGAGCACTCTCCTTTCTGTTTATGTCTTGTGAGTATGAGGTTTGTTGAATGGAATCAGGCGTGTAGCCCGCATGGAGCACATGCACCCCCTCCCTCCCCCCCCCCCCTAAAAATTTCGACCTAGGTTCAGCATGCACGTAAATGACATGATGACCATGAATGACATGCACCTGCCATCCTACACATTGCAGTCGTGCATCCGCCTAAAGGGGGGATCAGCTACGCCCCTGGGAATTAACCTTATGGATAGTAAGATGCAGAGCTACTACGTTGTCGCACCCCGGCACCATAAACTCTAGTCTTTACACATTCAGACGTGGCGCAACAGTTTCATGAGGTCAACATCACTGGACAGTACTTTGCAGCGTTGTTCATGGGATTGTAGTTAAAGCCTCTTGTACAGGCAAAATGAATTGCACATATCATCAAACAAATTCAAATTCAGTTAACTACTTTGCAATACGAAATCAATTTCAATGCTAGTAAATCAGGATCAGTCGTAGATGTAGATGTCATCGTGAATACATTGTCCGAGGTAAGCATGCAGTCACTCCAGTCTTTCCGGAGGCATGGGTTCATATCCCACCACCGCTGCCACCATCGTAACACCCATACTCTCAAAGGCTCACAGCTACGGTTTAAAAGTTGCCCATTCTGCAAGGAGGAGAAGAAGACTAAGGCAATGCTTACTGTAAAAGCAGAAATTTTCGGTGGTGTAATTGTTTCGGTATTCTCCAAAATCGGCGGTGCGGTGGAGGGACGAATTCGGTAAACCCATTTTCCAGGTAAGTGTACTAGTACTACAGTGCTGGCAACTGAAATCCGACCCCCTGAGCGGTGCGCTCAAATCTCAAAGAATGTGAACCCACCGCTCAGGGGGTCGGATTTCAGTTGCCAGCACTGTAGTACCGAAATTTTCGGTGCGTTTTATTTTAGGTAAAAATTGTCGGCACCGAAGTTAGTGAAAATAAAACACCACCGAAAATTTCTGCTTTTGCGGTACCATGAATACCTACGGAGTGCTATTCATGCGTATACTATTTTGTAATTACGTGTGATAAAAAGGTACCCATACAGTCAGACCACCCATAGGCGAGCACATCCGTTTTCCACAAAAAATATCCGGATAGGCGAGGGAACCGGATAATCGAACACACATACTGTATGTATGCATGGCATATGCTGTAAATCGGTAACCAACGATTTTCTTCCGGATGGCGAGGGATCCGGATAAAAGAGGAGCGGACAAGCGAGGTCTTACTGTGCTACACATGGATCATGTGGTTGTTGTTACTGCATGCACTCTGTTTTATGTCCTGTGTTGACCAGCCCGTCGGATCATGGAGACGGCGAGTTGCATGAGCAGCGGAATGTACGTTGAATACAACTCTTCGTTCTTCAACGAGACGGTCACCAACGAGACGTTCTTCACCATAAACAACACGCTCAATTTCCTCGGCCAGCCGTTTCAGATCCGCGCCTACAACAGCTCGACCTTGCTTGAGCGGGATGCGACCGTGTCATTGGATCAGACAGATGTACTGGGAGGTATGTGCTAGGTGTTGCGTGAGTTGTTGTTAAATCCGAGGTTGTTATTCACCAGTCGTTGTATGCGAGGTTGGTAGTCACGAGGGTTTCTGTACATCTCATGGAAATTGTGGGCTGCTTGTTTTTTTTGTACCTGTGTTGTGTCTTAATGCCATCCTCTGTCACAGGCATGTGCGAAGCGGCAGGTTGCATACTAGGGGCTGTTGAGTAGAATGTCTTGCAGGAAATCTAATCTAGCTGGGTTATGCTTGTGTGTGTGTGTGTGTGTGTGTGTGTGTGTGTGTGTGTGTGTGTGTGTGTTTGTTTGTTTATGCTGAGTTCAGGTATTGTATTTGAGGACATTGAAAACAGTGCGACGGTGACGAGGCTACCCCGAAACATGGAGTACGCTATTCGCTTGCGCCCGTCAGCCGCTGGAGGACGAAATCAGGACGGTCCGTCATGGAGAACACGCCGCCAAGAGCCGGTCTTTGAACGCACCGGAGTAGTCCGCTATGTGTACGTAATATCTAGCACGTGTCCTATAGTCTATCTATCCCATAGCCTGTATCCTATAGTATTTTCCCGTATTTTCCAGAATATAAGCCGTACTGGAGAATAAGCAGCACCCAGATTTTTTTAAACTCATGCCATGGGTGTGTCTCGACCTTCTGGTAAAAACTAGTCAGGCTAAGAATATGCAGTAGTAGCTCTCTGTTGGATTCCTAAGCACCCATTGTGGAGATGGTGATGTAATCGTCAAGTTGCAGTTCATAATCATTATGCTGATAGTCTTCACTGTGAGCTGTGTCACACAATAACCTACTCCTTACCGGTGTCATCTGTCTATTTGTGTGTGTGTGTGTGTGTGTGTGTGTGTGTGTGTGTGTGTGTGTGTTTCCCTGGAGTGCGAAAGTTTGAACCAGCTGAGCATTTTCTGGCTGTTTTCTCCGCTTCATTCTCTTGCATCCGCACAGGGTGTACGACGTTACATTTGCACCGCTCCAGTACATTATTGACCAGGCCATTGTGCGCACTCAGGTGGAAGAAGGCGGTCAGTGCAAGCTGAATAGCACGCAGTGTCCGGACGTCTCGCAAGTCACCACAACCTGCACTTTCACGTAAGCCGATATCGTGGCTCTCAGTCACGACCACCAACGCATGCACCGCTACTTGTGCAGAGTGATCACCCGAGTAGCAGACTCGGGAAGACTGACTGTATGTTCTTTTGACATGACACCTGAGCACTACAGTACCGTCGGTCGCCGAAGAACTGGGGGTTCAGCCGCCTAGCCTAGACCGTTCTTGGTTTAATGTATTTCACTCTATGCGCAGTTGAGTTACCGTGTATACATTGGTATGCTGTGCTTGGCAAAATTCTAGCCTGTTCATTCTTTGGCGCCCGATAGTACCGTATGCTTCCTTGCATCATATCCGATTAAAATTGTCATCCAGCAAATATCAGCGGTTGCTCACCAACTGATTGGTTGTTACTCCGAGTAGTACCGTGTGTGCGCAACTTTGAACTGTTGAGTGGGAGAGCTTGTATAGCCACGCACAAATACGTCTTGGTAACTCAAATATGGAGTGGTTCCGGTTCACGGAACGACATTGCACTTGTTACTTGAAAGGATTAGGTGACTTGAAAAAGAGTGTCACCAGAAAACCTTATTTGAGACAAGGTCTAGTTAGTTGAGACAAGTAGAGACAAGTGAAGCATGCAAAAAGGGAAAAGGCAGCAAAAAAAGGAGCCACAGGCTCGCTGCGCATGCTCCGGGCTGAGAGCTGCAAAACGGTGCACGCGATGCGTGCAGCAAGACATCAGCATGACGTCAACATGATGTAACACATAAACAAATAAAGACATAATGAGCGTAACGCGGATTCGTGATGCATATTCACGACACTCCCCGGGCATTGGCCGGAGAACAGAATTAACCATAATTAATAACAAGGAGAAATTTCACACAAAACACGTGGAAAGATAACTGAAGAGCATAAAGAATGCGAGAGCAATGAGAGTAATGAGAGCGAGTGAGCGGGCGCGCGCGCGCGCGAGAGAGAGAGAGAGAGAGAGAGAGAGAGAGAGAGAGAGAGAGAGAGAGTTAAACACGGCCGTCGGCGATCAAATCCTGCAAGTTGGACTGAAAATTGCTGGCAGCGGCTCGTGTCGGTCTTCGTACGACTGCAACGGGAGTGCTAGTCTTCTGAGCTGGGGTAGCTGAGGATTCTGAGGAACTGCTGGTCTCCTGAGCTGGGGTACCTGGGGATTCCGAGGAACAGCTGGTCTCAAGCGGACACAGTAAGCTTACTGGCCGCTTGATGGTACGTTTGTCCGAAGTGAGGACGGTGGCAGAGCGGATGTTGCCATCACTGCTGGTGTGTACTTCTTGGATTCGTCCAAGGCGCCAGTGGCCGCGAGGCAATTCCTCCTTGATGAGGACAACGTCAGCAGGCTTCGGAAACGTTGAGGATCGAGTCCTTGACTGCTTGAACGAAGACGTGTGGGCTTCTCGCAGACTGAGGAGGTACTCGTTCCTCCAGGCGAGCCAGAACTGATCAAGATGTCGTTGGCCCTTCTTCCAAAGGTCCAACAGGCTGTCTGCAGAGGAATTGATAGGCTGGTAATCCGGGTCGGTTGGGTCGTTGCTGACCGTGAAGAACCCCTGTGTGGCAGACAGGCTGATGAAATGACCAGGCGTCAGGACTGTGCACTGTTCTTCGTCGACATAGACTAGCGGCCGAGAATTGACGACAGACTCAACTTCTGGCAGGAGAGTGGCGAGTTGGCTGGTTGTGAGGAGGCGTCTCCCGATGGTCTTGCGCATGGAGCGTTTGACAATACCCACAAGCCTTTCATACATTCCACCCATCCACGGAGAGTTGGCAACGATGAAGTGCCACTGGATCTGATGGCGGCTAATGTAGGACGTAACACTGGTGTCCACCACAATGTTGCTCCAGGCGATGTCAAGAGCGGACTTGGCCAGCTTAAATTGGGGAGCGTTGTCAGACACAACTAGCTCTGGCGTGCCACGGCGGGCGACGAAACGTCTCAATGCGAGCAGAAACTCGGCAGCTGTCATGTCGTGGACTGGCTCCAAATGAACAGCTCTGGTCACCATGCACGTGATCAGGCAGACCCATGCCTTAGCGGTTTCTGACTGTGTACGGACGAGGACTGGGCCAAAGTAGTCCAGGCCGATGTGTGAGAATGGTCGCGCTTGGGTCACTCTGGTAGAAGGTAGCGGACTCATCTGAGGTGTCTTGTATGGCGCGCCTTCGTAGCGAATGCACGTCTGACAGCGGCGCACGAGGGCCTTTACAGCTGATCTGCCTTTCGGGATCCAAAACTGATATCGGACACGGGATAGTGTGTGCGCTATGCCGCCATGCATGACCTTGAGGTGGCAATCACGTATGATTAGGTTGGCAATGGCGTGTTCCTTGGAGATCAGGACGGGAAACCTCGATTTGGAGCAGAGGTCAGCATTCTCCAGTCTTCCACGGCATCTCAGTACTCCGTTGTCGAGCACTAAGTTGAGCTTAGTTGCCAGCGGATGTTGCTTCCCACTGGACAGAGCGGTGATCACATCTGCATAGTGTGCAGACTGGCTGTGGCTGATCCAGACTTGCTCTGCTGCTTCGATTTCTCTAGGCGTGAGAGGTCCAGATGGAGTCGGTTTCTTCCGCAGCCTACAGAGGAAACGAAAGCAAAGTGCAGACACACGCACTAAAGAGTCGAACGACGAGAAGTCGTTCACAACAATGCCATATGGGAATACATCAGATTTTTTATTTGTCTGTGAACCCTGACCAAATGGCTGACCCCCCGACCCCTTTGAGGTGACTTCCGGAGGACCCTCCGCCGGCGCAACAGTGACGGTTGCTGCAGTGGTGCCTTCAATCGGCAGGCTGGGGCCGTTCCACCAGGTGTCGCATTTTAACAAGGCTGCGGCGCTCAATCCACGGGATGGCAGGTCGGCTGGATTCAGCTTTGTCGGGACGTAGTGGTGGAGAACGTCTGGAACGGCTGCGATGGCGTTGACGCGGTTCTGCTCAAAGACGGGGAGCTTCGTGGACTTGAGCCAATGGAGTACAGTCGTTGAGTCGGTGTACAGATGAGTGGTTTGGAACTGGAGGTCCAGTTGCTTGCGTAGGTACACGATAAGGCGAGATCCTAGGCTTGCCGCCATCAACTCTAACCGTGGGATCGTTTGACCCTTGACGGGAGACACCTTCGTCTTGCTGAAGATGATGTGCCGCTGATTCTTGTCACCGACAGTGCTTTCTAAGTACGCAACGGCAGCATAGGCGATCGCTGACGCATCGCAGAAGACGTGCAACTGATACGACGGACTCTTACATGTGGGTACACCGACGTAGCGCAAGATCGGATAGCTGCTAGACTCGTCAAGGTCGGCGGCTATTGGGTGCCAGCGACTGAGGACGTCGGAGGGCAGTGGGTCATCCCATGACACAGCAAGCTTCCAGATATCTTGCATAAGAACCTTCGCTCTGATGGAGACGGGGGCGAACAAGCCAAGCGGGTCGAAGAAGCGAGACAGTGCCTGTAGAACCTGGCGTTTCGTAGTGACAACAAGGTTAGCTGCATTAGGCGACTGTACGGACAAGACATCCTCTCTGGGGTCCCAATGGAGACCAAGGCATTTCTCGCGAGCGCTTCTTGAGCGATCGTGTTCTGGGATCTTGTCCAAAACCTCGGAAGAGTTTGATGCCCACTCTCTAAGGTTCATGCTGATTGCGGAGAACGTCGCCTTTGCTGATTGATAGTGAGCGACAGCATCGCTGATGGTGTCCTTGCCCAGGATGATGTTGTCTACGTACGTGTTTCGGAGAATGTCGTCTGTCTCCGGTGAACAGGTCTGCGTGAGGTGGTACTTGATTGTTGCAGACAGCAGGAAAGGGCTGGAAACAACACCGAAAGGGACTCTACAGAAACGCAGAGTTTGGAGATTGCTGTAGTTGACTGGTTGGTTGGGGTCATCCAACCACAAGAAACGAGTGACATCACGATCGGCTACGTTCAAATTCATCTGTAAGAACGCTTTCTCGATGTCACTACAGACGGCAATAGGGTGCATGCGGAAACGCAGGAGAATGCCACAGAGATCAGGGATCATGCACGGCCCAGGGTACAGACAATCATTGAGACTGGGCGAAGTCTTCGATACACGAGCGGATGCGTCGTACACGACACGGATCTTAGTGGTGCTGCTGGACAGCTTGAGCACACAGTGATGTGGCAAGTAGTGTATTGGATGCGAGTTGTCTCTCTGGCTGGGACAAGCAACCCGTTCGATGATACCAAGTGACAGTTGCTCTTCAAGTACCTTGCTGTACTTGACGAAGGTATCAGGCTCGTGACGGAGACGTTTAATGAGTGACTTCAAACGTCCGAAAGCAAGTGGAAAGTTGTTTTCCAAAGGCGGATGTTGTTGTCGCCAAGGCCACCCGACGGTGTACCGTCCGTCCTCAAACACAACTGATTGGAGAAAGTCGTCATACGCATGATCGTTGCTGGGGCGTGTCGCACTGAGAGAGTCGAAATCTTCAACAGCCCAGAAGCGCTCAAGGTCAAACGAGGGATCTTCACGTCGATGACTTGCTACGGCTAAAGTGGTGTTGCTCTCGATTACCGAACAGGCGTGCTCAGTTGCTACTGTGCCGGCGCAAACAAAACCAAGTGACGAGTCCAAAAGCTGCAGGCCATCGGGAAAGGAGATGCGGTCAGTGCCCAGGATCTTGTAGTAGTGATCAAGACCAATGAGGATGTCGATACACAGGCGATCGTTGGATGACGTGAGCGGCTCCGCAAGAGGAAGGGTGTTGAGGCTCGGGTGTCTGTTGGTGTCCAAGGGGACGCGCCATATCGGTGAAGTGATTTGGGGAATCACATTGGCGGACAATGGAAGGATAGAGTCATTCTTCAGTTTGAGATTGACCTCAACGCGTGGGTACTGAGACGTGTTCCTCGATGCACTACCGAAAGTAGAGAGGGCAATGTGATCTTGACCTAGAACACTGAGGTTGGCTTTCGCCTGGAGCGCCTGCGTGACGTACGACCGGCAAGAGCCACTATCGAACAGTATACGTGCAGACAGCGTGGTCGGGGTACCGGAAGAGTTGGACACTACATCTGCAACTGCGGTTTGCATGATGACGGACTGGTTGTCGCCTGCGACTGTGGTAATGGCAGGACGTGGCTGGAAAGGTGCCGCGTTGGCACACATTGCGGAGCTTGGTTGTGCACCGAATTTCACGGGACACAAACTGGAGTGATGGTCAGGCTTACGACAATAGAAGCAAGGCTTCTGCAGACTACACGAAGAAACACTGTGGCCTGGCCGTAGGCACCGTTGACACTTGTCGCCTAGGCGTGGTTTCCTTGTTTCAAGAGTGCTATACTTGGAACACATGTCAGAGTAGTGGCTTTCCCTGCAGAAAGCGCAGACTTTCTTTCTTGGCTGTGACTGGCGACTCGACTCGCCAACAAGAAGTACGGACGACTTATGTACGGAAGACGGCTGTTCATGTTTGCTACTGGCGGCATGACTGGACTGGCGCTCGGCTGTCTCCTGCGCTACTATATACGCACACAACTTGACTCTCAACTCGGCGACAGACCACGGATCGATGCCTTTCTGCAACTCAAGTTGCGCAAGCACGTGACGCGGAAGCTTGCTGGTCATCAGTGAAATGAAGATTGGTTGGTCAGTGTCTTCTTCAAGAGCGTTGAGACTGCGTAGATGTAGTTCTACCGTATCGTACAGCTTACGGAGCGAGGACGGCTTGTTGGTTGCCGGTGGAGTTTCCATCAGGGCGACATGGTGAGCATTAACCTGCACCTGCGTGTTGCCATAACGCTCGTCGAGCAGGCCAAGAGCAACAGCATAATTTGCATCTGACAGAGACAAACCAGAAATGGTGTCGAGTGCATTGTGTGTCACATGCTCCTTTAGGTAGGAAAGCTTCTGTACATCGCTTAGTCCAGTGTGTTTGTGTACGGATGCCATGAACATGTCGTGGAAAGACTTCCATTGCAGGATGTCGCCATTGAATTTAGGTAAACCTAACTTTGGTAAATTGACAGTGGACTTGTGAGATGCTTGAGTGGTGAGTGATTCACTATGCTGTTGTAGCAGAGTTTGAGTTTGTTCCTGTGTTTGACGATGAATGGTGAGTAACTCTTTCATCTGGCTTTGCATTAGCTTGACAACTGAGTCGTCGTCCGATTTGTTAGTACTCGACTCTGGAGAGGTCTGACAATCTGCTGTTGATTTCAGTTGAGAAATTCGGAATTTGAGCTTTTTGATCACGCTCATAGCTTCAAACTGGAAGTCCAGATTATCGTCTGCTTCCTGTTTACAAGCAGCTTCGTCAGAGCTCTCCAGGGCGGAGGAATCAACACAATTTGACAAAAGCTCACAGACCTCATCAAATGCTACGACATCGGACTCTAAAGATGCACATGTTTCACTTAGCTTTTCTGCTGTTGCAGATGAGGGAGCTCCAGACAATAATGCATTGCCGTCATCGAGGCATTGCTGGATGCTCTTCCGCAGCCGAAGTATCTTGCCGCGATACCGCTTAGTTGATGCCGGATTAGGAGCATCGGCACTCGAAGCCTTTTTTGGTGGCATTCCCGGGTTTCGGCACCAAGTTTGTGCGCAACTTTGAACTGTTGAGTGGGAGAGCTTGTATAGCCACGCACAAATACGTCTTGGTAACTCAAATATGGAGTGGTTCCGGTTCACGGAACGACATTGCACTTGTTACTTGAAAGGATTAGGTGACTTGAAAAAGAGTGTCACCAGAAAACCTTATTTGAGACAAGGTCTAGTTAGTTGAGACAAGTAGAGACAAGTGAAGCATGCAAAAAGGGAAAAGGCAGCAAAAAAAGGAGCCACAGGCTCGCTGCGCATGCTCCGGGCTGAGAGCTGCAAAACGGTGCACGCGATGCGTGCAGCAAGACATCAGCATGACGTCAACATGATGTAACACATAAACAAATAAAGACATAATGAGCGTAACGCGGATTCGTGATGCATATTCACGACACCGTGTTCATTTGTTACTCCGAGTAGTACCCTGTTCATTTGTTACTCCGAGTAGTACCCTGTTCATTTGTTACTCCGAGTAGTACCCTGTTCATTTGTTACTCCGAGTAGTACCCTGTTCATTTGTTACTCCGAGTAGTACCCTGTTCATTTGTTACTCCGAGTAGTACCCTGTTCATTTGTTACTCCGAGTAGTACCCTGTTCATTTGTTACTCCGAGTAGTACCCTGTTCATTTGTTACTCCGAGTAGTACCCTGTTCATTTGTTACTCCGAGTAGTACCCTGTTCATTTGTTACTCCGAGTAGTACCCTGTTCATTTGTTACTCCGAGTAGTACCCTGTTCATTTGTTACTCCGAGTAGTACCCTGTTCATTTGTTACTCCGAGTAGTACCCTGTTCATTTGTTACTCCGAGTAGTACCCTGTTCATTTGTTACTCCGAGTAGTACCCTGTTCATTTGTTACTCCGAGTAGTACCCTGTTCATTTGTTACTCCGAGTAGTACCCTGTTCATTTGTTTGCTAGGCAACACTGTACAGGTCTACTCTTGTTAGTACAACAACGATTACAAGACACACCGCATTAGCAGACAACGATCCAAAAATCCCCTGACGCCTGAAACACATTTAAGTTAACAGTCGTACAAGCCAAATAGTAGATACTCGTTATAAGACCAACTTTTTGCCCCCCCCCCCCCCCCCCCCCCCCGGTGGTCTACTGACCAGGGTGGACCTGTACCGTTTCAGCACAGCTCTGTATCAGATGATGCTCATCACGAACACCCTTTCTGCAAGTGCCAAAGTGCATCTTATTACGGACTGGTGTTGACATGGATAGTGGGGAATGTGCAATGGTATTGACACGTGTGGTAGTTGTGAATGTCAAAGGAAAAGGATGGAAATCTCCGTCCATTTCCTTTTGGAGTCAACAACGTTTCATCACCGCACTCCGTCGAACACACTGGAGGAAGACCATGTTTTCACTATGCATGCGCAATATGAGAGATGTGAACAAGGTACATGTACTAGTAGTCGTAATATTATAACTACACGTACACTGGGAATCCACACCTTGGCCTGGGAATAACACTGGGAATCCAATCCCTGGCCTGGGAATAACACTGAGAATACACACACGTACACTGTACTGGGAATCCTTTAAAAAATTCACTGTTTATATTTTTGTATGTTTGCCTCTTTTCACGGTGCTCGTCCTTTGCAGGAGAGATAGCGATCAGCGACAATTCTCTGTTCAGTTTGATAGCACCGACGAAGACTACGTCCCAAAACTTTTTCCCAACTTACTGACCTGCTCTTGCACCAGGACATCGTTTCTGGTAGGTAACAGTTACTCGCATCGGACAGGTCTGGCTGTGTGTTGAACCATTGCATCTCCGATTTCGCAGCCTAGCGTTGCTCTAGCATTCAAAATAGTCTACAACAGCCGCCCCACTAATAACCTGTCGGCTGGATTTGACCACTGTGATCCGGGTCATGGGTGACTTATAATTATAGCGATTTCAGCCAAATGACTGTTTTTGGGCAACTCGCCTGGTCAAATTGGAGCCCATATCACATGCTTTGCTGCACTGTGTTTTCTGAGTAAAATTTGTCAACGCAAAACGAGGTGGCTTGGTAGTTTACTTTACCCGCTATTATTTTCCGTTTTACGGTGGGTTGCAACTCAATTTGTCCCTGCACTCGTGAAGAATCCAGTGTTACACATGAACTTGGCAATCGGAGATGGGGGGGGGGGGGGCACAATGCATGTCCAGTGCCGTGCTTATGGGCTCCGCATTGTTTCTGCTTGCCTCACCTGCTTCTATCTGCCTTGCATATTTTTTACTTAGTCATCCAACATGTTGAAGACATACTCGGCGTCGTGCAGCTGTGACGTGCCCGGGTCGGAGGTGTGCATATCCAATGGACCAGTGGAACTGAGTTGTTGCGGGCGCTGCGATAACTCTCCTAAGAACAAAACATTCCTGCCTGTTGTGGCAAAGGTAGGGTCCTCTGGACGTTTTGCTCAGCTATTCGTGTAGTGTTAGGAGGAGTGCACATGCCCATTTCAATTCATTCAATGTGTTGAAAAAACTTGTGATGAGTCCTGGAGTAGTAAGCTATTTGTGGTTGTTTCAAAAAACAAAACAAAAAATTAGCACTTCAATGTTGCCATATTGCTATTATAGTACAGCTGTTTGAACATGCCATGTGTTAACTTTTTCTGTAACTGTTAACTAGCTATGTTCTCTAATTGGGTACTATAACCTTCGTCTATGACTCTGCTCCTTGTCTTTCAGAACTTCCCGTATCCTAACTATCGCGATGACACGTTCCTGACGATTGCTGGATTCATGATCAGTTTGCTCTTCGTTCTGGCTCTCATTTATCCGGCGGGAATGTTTGTTCGGGTAAGACCAGCCCTGGCTGATTCTAGAGTTGCGTGGTGATGGACTGGAATAACCCTGTGCCACATACACTGCCTAACTGTGTAGGGTTATTCTGGGTGTAAACGGCTGTCCGATCCTGAATCAGGTTATCCTTTCATCCATTCACGGCGTAGTCCTTCCCCTGTCTGTCGCCATGTATAGACGGTACACGGTGACCTCGCATTACCCCGTACTACGCACGATACCATGCTCTGCTGGGCGTGGTCTCCCCGACTCTTCACTATATCTACACTCACACGTCTGTTAAATAAATAAATAATGCACTTCCTTATGTCGGTTCTTGACACATCAGCGGCCGTGCGGCGCACTGGCTTTGAACACACCATATAAAGTTGTACTTATGTAGGAGTTGCATTATTTGATAGAAAGTATATTTTTCACAGTTAAAGGGGAAGTTTAAAGGCAAAAATTAAAATTTCACCAGTTGTAGTCTTCGGGGTGCTGAGTCGAAAGGTCGTGGTCCAAGGAAGCTGAGACGCTCCCTTCCTACTTGAATCCCAATCGAACTCGCGCACTTCCACCGAAACTAGGTGACTGCGCCCTACGAGATGGGGATTTGTATGCAAAATGTCACTAAAAGCGCCATTTCGTTCTTATAAAAGCACGGATGACCGCGATTGGCCCATATGTTGTAGTCTTTTGGATGCTGAGTCAACTGGTTTTGGTCCGAAAAGGCTGCGATGCAGCGTTCCTCCTTTATTCCCAATCGAACATGGTTGAACACGCGGTCACGTGCTCCTGGGTGCCCAACTCACCTGGTCACCACGCCAGCAGGCGACAACTTTCACACCAAGGTTCAACTCATGTGACAGGACTGCACCCAAAAAAGGTGAAACAGGCTAGTAAGTTGTACCCTCCAGGCGTGGTGACCAGGTGACTGGTGTACGCAGGAGCACGTGACCGCTTGTTCAACCATGTTCGATTGGGAATAAAGGAGGAACCCTGCATCGCAGCCTTTTCGGACCAAAACCAGTCGACTCAGCGTCCAAAAGACTACCACATATGGGCCAATCGCGGTCATCCGTGCTTTTATAAGAACGAAATGGCGCTTTTAGTGACATTTTGCGTACAAATCCCCATCTAGTAGGGCGCAGTCACCCAGTTTCGGTGGAAGTGCGCAAGTTCGATTGGGATTCAAGTAGGAAGGGAGCGTCTCAGCTTCCTTGGACCACGACCATTCGACTCAGCACCCCGAAGACTACAACTGGTGAAATTTTAATTTTTGCCTTAACTTCCCCTTTAAAAGAGTATTTATTTCGTAGAGCTTGAGTGGATATAGATTCCAAGGTTCGAACCCCAAGATGGGCAGTTGGTTACATTTTTTCTCTCCTTGCATGTTTCGTATCTGCATCCTGTGGCTCTTGCCATCACCGTCTATTAGATCTACCTTGTCCATGTACCAGCTACTGATATGCAAGCGGCAGGGGTGTTGGAACGAGTTTGGCGTTGGAACGAGTTTGGCGTTGGTGTGCCCAACCCCGGTAGGGGATCTCCCCGCAGTGAACTTTCTGAAAAATTGGCTCAATTTCCCCTGTTAATTGTTACTGAGAAGAGGTTGGGGTTTTAAAATCGACGGCGCGGTCTTCATTTCTGAAGTGATTGGTGTGGCTTTTGCTGCACCTGCTGCACCGATTATTATGCCCTGCTGCTGATGTGGATGTTGATGGTATGGGCACGTTTGATGGTGTTAATGGTGTTCTTTGTTGCTGGTGTGTAGGAGCTGGTTTTGGAGAAGCAATCTCGTATGCGTGAGACAATGAAGATGATGGGGCTGAGCACGTGGATCAACTACCTGTCCTGGTTTATCAAGCAGGTGCTGCAATTCTTCATTGCAGCGCTCTTCTGCACCATCATCATCGTTGTGAGTATGAGCCACCATCCGCACCAAGCTATGCATGCAGCTAGTGCTCTATTTCCGATCATACGGAGCAAATCACAGTTTGGAACATGCCGAATATTCTATGGGTGTTTCAAGTGGCTACGCCATGCATTCCTTGTTTCAAACTTTCCTTTCGTTTGAGCAACCGCATTAGGATAGAGTCCTTCAATCCCTTTTTGTCCATGTCCATTGTTGTGTGTGTGTGTTCCCTGGTTCATTGTGTTGTTGTTGTGTTGGGTACAGGGCGGGAAAGTGTTCCCAGAGAGCAGTGGGATCCTGCTCTTCCTCTTCTTCCTCGTCTACTTCATCGTCTCCGTCCTCTTCCTCTTCATGCTGGCGTAAGCTTGGCGTCTTTATGGTGTGATTCGCGTGTCTGTCTTTTTTTATGTCTGTTTACGGACATCTGCTTTAGTACCGGGGTATGTTTGCTTGAGCATGTCCGTAAGCGAAGCAGTTATTTGCCTCTTCAAAGAAACCACTTCCATCCACGCATCATGATATTTTGTTTGTTTGTTTCACGTTATATTTTACATCGCAAACCAAACGGGCATTGGTGCCCAATATTATGATGGCGATAAGATTAAAAAAAATGAAATGTGGCATATTCTCAGAGCCCATGAGTCTGTGGGTATCATGGGCTTGATAGGGTACACGTACTAACGTTAGTTCTACACTGAGTGTATCTAGTGGGACATGTATGCGTATTGTGCATCCACACAGGAGCTCAAGTCTAGGAACAGCTTCTTACCTGTCAATATGCTATTTGCCTGTTCCCTCTCCATTTGCAGTGCGATCTTCAGTGATCCTCGCGTAGCCATGATATCCTCCTTCGCTATCTGGTTCGTGTCCTACGTACCGTATTTGGCAACGTCTGCCATGTACGACGAAATGTCCACGTAAGCCCTGCAACTGCTTGTCTGCTGGTAAACTCTACATGTACAGTATAATATACATTGTATTAGATAAACCTTGTATTGTAGAAACACGCTTTTGGCCTGACACCAATACGGTGCAGATGGTCCCAACAGACCGGGGCTCTACCAACCCTGGATGGTTGTAGTACAACACACTGTTTCCGAACACAGTGTTCCACCACCTTGCTGTCAAACTAAAAGCATGTACCGTAAAATTCCGTAAATAAGCCCACCCTAAATAACGCCCATGTCCGATAATAAGCCCAGTTTTAGGCGGTGTACACTTCAAGTCCGTTTTAGCGCCCATGCCCGAAATAAGCCCAGGGCGTAAAGTGGACAAGTGGTTTACCTATCAAATCTGTAATTTATCGCTACATTCTTGCTTACGACCAAATTTCCAGCTGTGGTTTGATGTACCTGTACCGCGCTCAGTGTGAATGGTGGTTCACTGAAACTAGTGGGTTGCTGATAGATTGATCTTCTGCAGCTTGCGTCCGAAATAACGCCCATGCCCTAAAATAAGCCCATGCCCAAATATACGCCCGGTTTTTGACGCTCTGCAAAGTATACGCCCGGGGCTTATTAACGGAGTTTTACGGTATAATGTCATGTACATGAACTTCTGAGCAGCGTGGTCCAGTAGCTACCGCTATGTGCCCATGTCTGAGACTTATAGTCAATGGAGTACAATCACCCACCTCATGTATATTATGTTATGTTTGTAGTTTTTTTTGTTTGTATTCTTTATTTAGTTGTGTTGGGGATGGTGGTGGGGGTGGTGTAGGTGTGTATGGAGAGAGGGGTAGGGAGGGGAAGGACTCTCTGGGGAGGGGTGTCCGAAAAAAGCTGCACGATGCATCTAGGATGGGCTCTTTCTTGGAAATGTCTCATCCTGGCTTGTCTCATTTTGCCGCAAATCGGGTAGGTGTCCAGGCATTGGACCACTTCAGTGTACCCTGGACACAGGTTGACTGTTTGCACAGTTCTTTCTCACACCTCACAGCAGCCGTAACTAGTGCAGGATTGGCTGCAGATGGCCGTAT